GGTAAGATCCTATGCAAATGAAAGATAGAGCTTCCTAGGTATCACGGGCTAACTTAATGAATTAACGACAGCTTATATATTGTCTACCTATTTATCGGCAAATTTACTTTGACATATTTCTCCATGGTAAGCATGCGTGTGTGACGAACCGGAGTAATTGCTGACCTGCTAGTACTGTTTCCGCGTCATTGGTCTTCGAGTTTCAGCCACACTGCGACACGATTACATGCAGACGCTCTTCGCCCAGCCGATCAGTAAGCTCGATCAGGTATCAGTGGGCGCTGTAACCAACACGATCACCACCCTGTCCAATTCCATCCAGCAGAGCATTTCGGATAAACTCGCCATTCTCTTTCAATCCGTTGCCCTGCTCTTGGCAGCATACATCATCGCGTTCAAATATTCATGGGCCTTGACACTTGTCACCAGTTCTGCACTCCTGTTTATCCTAATCGCTGTCAGCATAACACTACCTCGCTTAACGCAAGCCCAGCAAAGTGTCGACAAGGCAGATGAGAAGCAGTCATCCATCGCAGCGGAGGTATTTAGCTCGGTGCGGACAGTGGTATCCCTGGGAGCGGAAGGGAACCTGGCCATAAAATATGCCCTTTGGGTTGAAGAAGCGCGTAAACGAGGCCGAAAGATGTCTGTCTTCTTGGGATTGCAGTTCGGGCTCATTTTTTTTGCCATGTATTCGAGTTATTCCTTAGCCTTTTGGTTTGGACTGAAGTTGTTCCGCGACGGACACATAGGGAGCATTAACACGGTCATCACGTGAGTACATTCGCCGAGGTTTGGTTCCTGTGCTAATCGACGATAGTGTATTCTTCTCGGTCATGGTGGCAGTGAGTGTTATGGGAAACATTGCCTCGCCTTTGATCATTATATCCAAGGCAGCTAGTGCGGCGGGTGCATTCTTTGAGATGCTGGATTCCGAAAAGATCGACGCTAGCGGTCTTGGTGGATCCGATGCTTCGGCGGAGGTGGACATAGTCCTCGAAAATATTCACTTCGCATACCCTTCCCGACCAGACACCAAAGCTCTGAATGGGCTTAATGCTCGATTTCAGCGGGGAAAGACAACGGCGTTGGTGGGTCCCTCGGGTTCGGGGAAAAGTACGATCGTGGCTCTACTTGAGCGATGGTATCAGCTGAGCGGAACCAGCGATAAAGATCAAGGAGCGATCTATGTGGGTGAACATAATGTGAATGACTTGGATCTAAAGTGGTGGAGGTCCCAGGTCGGGCTGGTACAACAGGAGCCAGTTCTTTTCAACGACACTATTTTTAACAACATCTCCCTTGGGCTAATAGGTACGAAGTGGGAGCATGAGAGCCATGAGAAAAAGAAAGCACTCATTGAAAATGCGTGTCGAGAGGCTTTCGCAGATGAATTCATTCAACGGCTGCCCAAGGTATGATCAAGACAATCCCCTTAGTATCAAATCTGACGTTTCCAGGGATATGACACTCCAGTTGGCGAGAATGGTACCAAGTTAAGTGGTGGACAGAGGCAACGACTTGCGATAGCCCGCAGCATTGTGCGCCAACCGTCTATCCTGATATTGGACGAAGCAACGAGTGCGATCGATGTGCGCAGCGAGAAGATTGTCCAGGCAGCCCTTGATCGGCTCTCTCGCAATCGTACTACAATTGTCATCGCTCACAGACTGTCGACCATCCGACAAGCCGACCATATTATTGTGATGAAGGGTGGTGTGGACATCGAACAGGGTACTCATGAGGACCTTCTCAAAATCGACGGTGGAGTCTACAGTGGCCTTGTCAATGCTCAGAAAGTGGAGCTCTTGGATGATGACACGGCCACCAGCGACATAACCGAAGAATTGAAGGAAGATCTCGAACCTGCAGACGAACTTGTTCGAATGTCTACGAACCAGGATGGCAAGCAGTCGACAACGAAGAACAAGGGCTTTTTCGGCAGCATCGGACTATTCCTATATGAACAGAGGGCACTTTGGAGATTTTACATTCCAGTCGTGGCTAGCGCGGCTGGAGCCGGAGGTAAGCCCGCTCCAATTCGCGTTGCCAATACAGACTAACGAAGAATGCTGGTAGCTGCGTTTCCACTCCAAAGTTGGTTGTTTGCGAAACTTATCGCGGTGTTTCAACTGACTGGTCAGAGTCTGGCACACGCAGCCAACTTCTGGGCGTTGATGTTTTTCATTCTGGCGCTAGGGACAGCTGCATCCTACGGACTTATGGGATATTCTTCAAACAGGTTCTCCTTTGTAAGAACTACTCCACAAACCCAGAAAATTTAGAAGCTAACTCTTCCGCAGGAAGTATCCTCCTTCTATCGAACGCAATATTTTCACAACGTGCTCAACAAGCCTATTCCATTCCACGATCAGATCGCAAACGCTTCTGGCTCCCTCGTCTCTCGGCTAGCGACAGACCCGAAGCAAGTACAAGAGATAGTCGGGATAAACGGTGCATTCCCACTGTCATCCATTTTCAGCATTTTGGGATGTATTATCATCGCGTTCACATTCGGTTGGAAGCTCAGTCTCGTTGCTGTCTTCGCAGCACTGCCATGCACGTTCCTTGCAGCGTTCATGCGCATTCGCTACGAAATTCAATTCGAGGCAATGAACGCCAAGGTCTACTCCGGAAGTTCGCAATTCGCAGCTGAAGCCATAGACGCTTTCCGTACCGTCTCAGCTTTGACAATGGAAGATGTGATCCTGGACCGGTATTCCAACCTCCTACGGGACCAGCAAACGAAAGCCTTCCGAAAGGCCTGGTACGCCACCCTTATTTTCGCATTCTCTGACAGTGTCGAGCTGTGCGCCATGGCACTCACATTCTGGTAAGTTCTCCATAACCAACCGTCCAACACTGCATCTAACAAAATTCGACAGGTACGGCGGCCAACTCCTCGCGTCCCGAGAATACCAACCGACCGACTTCTTCGTGATCTACATCGCAATCATCCAAGGCGGCCAATCCGCCGGCCAATTTTTCAGTTTCGGATCGAACGTCGCGCAAGCCATAGCAGCCGCAAACCGCATACTAAGCCTCCGTCCAAATAAAGCCGAACAACAAGAAGCCCAAATCGTCAAATCCCAGCCCGAGTCCCTCCGAACCCACTCCGGGGCCAACATCGAATTCACCAACGTCGCATTCCGCTACCCCAGCCAAGACACCCCCTTATTCACGAACCTCAACGTCAAAATCGAAAGTGGCCAATTCGTCGCCTTCGTCGGCCCATCCGGCTGCGGAAAAACAACCGTCATATCCCTCCTCGAACGATTCTACACCCCTTACCAAGGAACCGTCCTCATCAATGGCAACGACATCCACTCCATCGACGCCTCATACTACCGCCGCTCGATATCCCTCGTAGCACAAGAACCCCGCCTCTTCGAAGGCACTATCCGCGATAACATCACCCTCGGACTGAACGAATCCGAATATACCGAGGACAATCTGATCCAAGCGTGCAAGGACGCAGAGATCCACGACTTCATCACCTCCCTCCCGGAGGGATACTCCACTGATCTTGGGATCAAGGCCCAGACGTCCATGAGTGGAGGACAGCGTCAACGCATGTGCATTGCAAGGGCGTTGCTGCGCAAACCATCACTTCTTCTGCTTGATGAAGCGACATCGAGTCTTGACTCGCAGTCTGAGAAGGTCGTGCAGGCGGCGATGGAGCGCTTGGCTGCGAAACGGTGTATGACGATTGTGGCGGTCGCGCATAGATTGGCTACTATTCAGAAAGCGGATACGATATTTGTCTTTGGGGAGAGTCGGAGTGGTTATGGGTCGAGGGTCGTCGAGCAGGGGAGTCATCAGGAGCTGTTGCGGAATAAGGGAACGTATTGGCAGATGGTGAGTTCTGATTCATGATCGATGTTTGCTGTGTGTTTGTGGTTGCTAATTGTTTGCAGTGTCAGGAGAACGCGCTCGATCGGTGATTGTATCCTACACGGTTTCATTTAGTATACATTTTGGTACATATTTGGGACAACGTGCCGCTGCGGAGTTGGTGGATCATTCGATTAGATGGTAGTCGGAGTAGATAATTTGCTAATAGAACTAATACCCCTTTCAATATAGACTATGTTGCTATACACCCTCCAACCACGAACCACAGTATTGTCAAATACCCCTCTACGGGGATCATAAGAATCCTCCTGTATACACACACACAGCCCACCATCTCCCAAGAAAAAGACAGGAACAAAAATAAAACTCGTACCCAATTCATCAAACCACCGCTTAGTGGCTTCCTGCAACTCCGTAGACCGTCCCCGTCACAACCATTTTATCGCATAGAGACGAATCCCGAATACAGCTACTCGCGCACATCCGCCTGAGACACAAAATTAGGGTTAGTAGACCCTGTGATCCCTCCGATCTGCTTTAAACGCTCTTCGGCAATTCTGCTGTGTTGAACAGCTGCATGCCGATCGTCTCTTGACTCCGAGAACTGACACCTCATCTAGAGCCAATGCCGCCGCACTCCCATTGCAAGCAGGCGCGTTCAACCAGCTAGGCCAATAGGAATAAACTGGCGAAGATCTGAATCCGATGACTTGTAGGATTCGGGAACCGTGGCATGCATAGCAGATCAACAAATGCATCAACTTGCGATACCATTTGAACTGCTGTTCAACTGACTTGAAGATGGTGGATACTAAGGTTTAGCCGGGTGTGACCGTCGTGCGGTCCGATCTATTTGTGGAGCAAGCTAGTGCCAAAGGAAAGATTGGGTCCATGGAATGGGAAATTGCCTGATGATTACTGCGTGAGATGACATGAATCGCTAGAGACAGAACGGTTGCCTGTGCCTGCACTTTCTGCGCGCGATTTGCACCTTTCGCAAAAAATGCTTGCATCAACATTTCCAACTATACTATATACAGCCGGCTTACTGCTTTCTACTAGTTAGGATCGCTATCTCATAGAAAAGTGGACATTTTATTTATTCTTCGTGAGTCATTTCGGACATTGTAGTGAGATCGTCGGTTCAGCTCGTCCGGACGCTAGCGTTCGTGATTGCTAAAAGAACGAAATCGATTCTGCCTTCCACTTGGGAGCCCACTTGTTGGGTGTGCCAGCAACAGGATTCGATGGTGTATTCGAGTTTCCAGACAGTTGAGCGCTCGGGTTGCCAGACGATAGTGTATTCGGGTTACCGGATTTCTTCTTGCCTCCCCTCTTCTTTTTTGACTTCTTGTGGGGGCTCGAATCATCGCCGGGGGCATTCTCTGGTGTTTGCGCTCCGCTCCTTGGGTGGAATTTTGAATTCGGATCTGGCTTATCGAACGAGGCTTTCTCTGGCTGTATCTCTTCGTCTGGCTGTGTTGCTTTCTCTGGCTGCGTCGTCTTCTCTGGCTGAGGAGCTTTCTCCAGATGTACCGGGGCCGCTTTTTCCGGAACGGGCTTTGAACATGTCGCAGGCTTTGAAGTCTCCTTTAGTGTGGGTCCCGGCTCTGACTTTGCCTCTGTCTTTGTAAAGTTGGTTCCGGTGCAAACCTTTGATACCTCACTGGCTGCGGTGACCGGAAGGTAAATGAGAGAGGTGAAGCTGGAGCAGGAGATGGAGACTTGGGTTTCTCTTCTGGTAGTTCAAGCACGGTGTCGGGGGGTGTAGAATCCTTGACACCCCCATCCGAGCCATCCACGCTAGCTTCCGGGTCGCTCTTAGTGTCATTGCTGTCAGAAACAAGAGTTGTCTGGTCAGTAGAAGCATCCTCGTCAGACACGAAGGCAGCACGGCTGGCTGCTGGGCCGTTGGTAGTCGCCTTGGTCAACCTGGCAATGCTCCCGGAGTAGATCTTCAAGACGATATCCAGTACAAATTGATCGAATTTTGCATCGCTTCCCACACCATACTTCAGAATATCGTTTCTGAACTGTTCTTCTCCGGCTTTGAACGCTCCAGCAAGTTGATCGTACACGAACTCCTCAAACCACTTTTTACCAGTGAACATAGTAGCATACACCTCCCGCGCAATCTTGAGTAGTTCCAGTGTTGACACGGAGTCGACAAAGGTATGCATATAGCGCTGTGCGTGATCCAGCAGTCCCTGGATCTGGTGTCGCTGAGCCATGTGGAAGGCGTACACGCTGCGTTTGAATTCCCGAGCTCGGGCTTTGGAGGGAGGGACGTTAGGAGATGCGGCGAGGGTTTCATAATCCCCAGTGTAGAGATAGTGAATGAAGGTATGTCCAATGTCGGCGTACATTTCTTCGAGGGCGAATTCCTTCATGTAGGCGAATTTCAAGTTGGGGATTTTGAGGACGTAGTATTCGGGTATAGCGTAGGTGGTACGGCCGATTGTAATGTGGTTGACAGGACTGGCGTAGGGACTGTAGTGCTTCGGTCAGTGTTGGCTCGTATGCAACATATGTAAGTGTCTCAATGGCCTAGCTACCTGTCACGAGGCTGGGGATAGTCTGTGATCGTTTTGGGAGGCGATTCCGGATCTGAGAAGACATTTTGGGTCGGCTTCTTTGGCGCAGTGCCAAAGAGATTGCACAATGGACTGTCCGCTGGGAATATCTTTGCCATTGTGTATGCCGACTGTTGTGAGAGACAGACAGACGTGGAAGGATTGATGTGAGGGATGGCGATTCAAAACAAAGACCGACCAGATCCCTGGTTAGCCAGGCAATATAGACTCACCGCCTGGATCAACCGAGTTTCGGGCCCTCGCCGCCTGCCGCGATAGGGAAGGTGCGTGTTTACCACCTGCAGAATGATCTTATCTCGTGAATCCCGAGGTTGAGCCCGTACCTGAACTTGAAGTCGCTGCTCTGTCTATCGTTTACATAAAATCAGTTGTACATTCTCTTCTGATCATCTTTCAGCAAGCACTATGAAGTTTTTAATGGTCGTTTCCGAGAAAATTTAAGCATTTTTCAGATCTCTCGGAAAATCCGTGACGCGTTATTTATCAGCTGCCCCAGGCATACTTCTCCACAATATCTTATTTGCCTATTTCGGAAAGAAACCGCATCGATAAGACGGTATGTAAATGGTTTTGATTTCATACCAATACATCAATACAGCATTTGGCGTCTTATGCTAGTAGTACTAGGCGGATATCATTATTTCGACATGCTCTTCGATTACACTTGTATGTGGAAAGGGGTCTTCAATAGCTTACTGACTCGAATGCTTCATGCTACAACAAATCCAAAGTTATAATGAACCAGAATATATCGACAACCATAATCGCACTTCCTCACTGCGTAATACTCCGTACAAACTCCTCCACCTCCCTCCCAACAACTGCCTCCCTAACCAAATTCCCCATCGACTCCACAACCCAAGTCTGACAATCCCTCTGCACCACCCTCCTCCCAACCCCAACTCCATTCGCTCCCAACCCTCCCTCCTCACCAACACTATTCAACGACTTCCCCGGCACCTTTACCTCATACAAAATCCTCTCAAAGGCACAACTCGGCACGTTCTCAATCCTTTCCGGTCCCTCCATCAGCTTCTGATCAAAATACTTCCCGTCCACCCACTGCAATGGGATCCGCTTCGTCGGAATATCCGGACCGGTACGGAGATTGTGGCTGCGCTTGATCTCGAAGATGAACCCGTTGCGCACGTCTCCAGTTGCGTGGATCTTATCTCCGACCAGGGGATCATCTGGAGACGAGATCCAGTATGCCCAGTGGTCTTTGAAGGGGTGGCCGTTGAAGATGTGCAGCTCGAGGAGCAGGGAGTCTTTGGGGCCGGTGGGAGGGACGGTGGGTGGTGGTGGGGTGTTTCTTTGTGCTTGAGTTGTTGGTGGGGGGATGGGTGGTGGGATGAAGGACATAGTATTGATTGAGTATTGTAGCTTGTATACACTATGTACTTCGAGCAGTAGTGTGATAGTGTCTAGTGTAAGATTTGAAAGCGGCATAGGGACTACAAAGGCGTGCCTGTAGCTGGCGCAATCATGCGCTGTTGCCTGGGTAAGCGCAAGGTGTGATTGAGTGATCGTCATTCATACAGGAGTAGCGATATAACAAAAAGGGTGCGAATAAGATCTGACTGTACTTCTGTTAATCAAAGTAACTCACACCTTCCGCATCTCAACCACCCCCTTTCCAAACTCCGGATACACCTGAAACGTCACCCTAGCTTGAGCTAATGCCATAAGGACAAATTGAGTCTCTCCGAAATTAGCGAAGTATTTCTAGAGGAGGATTGGGACTCCTGCCGCACAACAATAAACTGATAGGCAATGGGCTATATGATCACCTAAAAGCAGATGACTACAGTACACTAATCACGGTCGGCCATCGGGTCATTAATTATTAAGGATGAGTCCGAACTAGACCTGAACTCGTTAGCCTCTCATCCTTCGGGATGGAATCTCACCATCACGGAGACATTCCGGAGCGATGATTTGCCCGCACTCTATCAGTCCTGAGTGGATCGGACACATTACCCGCCAATGCCCTAAGCAGGATGACCAAGAATATGCCCGAGCAGGGATATTCACTCCGAATACATACAGAAACCAGATGTATATAAAGAGAACATTAGACATCATACAAAACATTATCACTCAACACCAAGACAATCACACAGTTAGAACTTCACACCATCCAAACTACACTACCAAAATGTCCCCAATCACCCGCCCACCACTCCACCCCACCCTCTCCGCCATTCACCAAACCATCCCAACCATGGATATCAGCACGCCTGAAAAACGCCGCGTCTACCGTGACTACCTGACCACAAACTTCACACTCGAAAACACCCTCAAGGGCCATGAATCCACCATTGCCTACCAAGAAGTCGACATCCCGGGTCCCGCCAGTCCCCTGCGCGCCACCATCTTCCGCCCAAAGCATACCACCTTAGACGTCTCCTCCACCCCAGGGATCCTGCACATGCACGGCGGCGGCCACTCCACCGGAAACCGCTTCATGGGCTTCACCGTGCTGGACTGGGTTGAATCCCTCGGCGCAGTGATCATGACAGCCGAGTACCGTCTCGCGCCGGAGCATCCTCAGCCTGCGCAGTTGGAGGATAGCTATGCGGCGTTGAAGTGGATGAGTGAGCATGCAGATGATCTAGGGTTCAATCCATCCAAGTTGGTGATATGTGGTGGCTCAGCGGGAGGTAACCTCGCCGCTGGCCTGAGCCTCTTAGCAAGAGACCGCGCGGGACCCGCGATCAAAGGCCAAGTACTGATGTACCCCTGGGTAGACGACAGCGTGGAGTGGAACTCGATGGAGCAGTTCGGGGATATTGCGCCGTTGACGAAGGCGGATGCGGCGCAGGCGAGTGATTTTGCCTTCGGGGTGAATCGGGAGTTAGCCGATATGTATACGGTTCCGTTGAGAGCGGAGAGCTTTGTGGGACTGCCCGAGACGTTTATTGATGTTGGGGAGGCGGATGTGTTCCGTGATCAAGATCTTGCGTATGCGGCTAGGCTATGGAGAGATGGAGTCGCTACGGAGTTGCATGTTTGGCCTGGGTGCTGGCATGGGTTTGATGCTTTTGTGCCTGAGGCGGAGGTTAGTCGCAGGGCGAGGGAGGCGAGGTTGGGGTGGTTGAAGAGGTTGCTTGCTTGATGGGTTGGTAGTTGAGGATCTATGGTTATTTATGTTCTGAATTTGGTGTATATATTGTTTGATTTCTGTAAGAAGTATAGAAGGAGTTGTGATTTTCCATTTTGGGCTTCTAGCTGTCCTCGATGAATGGTAGAAACTGGAGGGAAGCAATGGGTCATCGATGTTCCTGGGCGACTGCTCAGATTTTACCGTCCCCATTCTTCTTCTCAATACCGCTATCATCTTCCATGTTTGTAGAAGCCCCCCCTTCACTTCCTTTCTCACTCTTCCGCTCAACATCAGGCTTGTTCTGCTTCACACTGCGCCATTCCATACAAACTGCACCGATGCTAGCAAGACAGGCCATGATAAGTCCTACCTGAAAGCACACGCGCAGAGAATTATTATAGGCTTTTAAAGCCTCATGTCGATATTTTTCAGGAATGAGGCTTAACACCTCCGTCGCACCCGAACTCTGAATCACCTGCGGAGTTATATTCAGACCCGGAATACGTGGAAGACGCCGAGCCAGCTGATTGGAAAGAACATTTTCACCAACAGAAGTAAAAATAGCTCCGAAAAGCTGCTGACCGAAGAACATAAGCGACGCTCCGATAGCGACATCCTTCCGGGGCAACACAGTTTGCACAGCAATGTTGTTGATCTGGGTTGATGAACCAAAGCCGTAGCCGTATAGAATCTGGTAACCAATCCATTTTGCTTCTGGGGTGTTCACATCCAAGGTGGTGATCAGACCGGCTCCGATTGATGTAAGACAAACACCAAAAATCAAGAAAGGCGTGTAGTATCCAATGCGGGAGATGAGTTGGCCGGTAACTATGGATGCTACAACCAATGGTATTATCGTTGGAAGGAGGTGTATACCACTGCTGACTGCCGAGACGCCTTCAATAGCTTGGAACCATATGGGAAAATAGTATACTAGTATGGTTATTGGTATGCGGTTTCTGCCAGTAAGCTGTGTGATGACTCACTGATGATCATTGTATGTGCGCCTTGGCAGCAGCTCACCCAGAAGCCGCTCGCAACACTACGCTGGAGGAGTATTCTAGGTGGTAGGATGGCCTGCTGTGGCTTCCAGATTTGGATACCCAGGAAGGTGATAAGAAGCACGAATGCAAGCACAAGCAGCGCGATGATTCTCCCATTGCTCCACTAGACAGTGTTAGAATTGCTTATAGCTTAGAAGTTTGCCCCAATGGAGAAGCGGTTAACTTACGTTATATGTGGTACCAGCCCACTGTAAGGCCAGGCATAGACAGACAACACCGGGAATAAGCGCGATCATTCCTAGTAGATTCAGCTGCCGCAGCTTCTCTTTCAGTGGTGTGTTGGTGGATGTTTGTGCCGGAACACGCAATAGAAAGAAGACGACAACGAAGACCACCCCACCAAGAGGAAGGTTGATGTAGAAACACCACCTCCATGTAACGTCGGTAGTAAAGACGCCACCAATCAACGGACCTGACACTGACGCGACCCCAAACACAGCCCCAAATAAGCCCTGGTACTTAGGACGCTTATGGAGCGGAACGGCATAGACAATAATGACCATCTAAATGGATATATTAGTAAAAGACGTTTTCATGATTAAAATGGTTGAACAACTCACGGCGCCAGATGAAATTCCACCAGCTCCCATCCCGGCAATGGCTCTGCCTATAATAAAGGTAATGGAACTCGGTGCAGCACCGCATAGGGCCGACCCCGCCTCGAACAGTATTATAGATGACATAAATACAGCCTTGATGTCGAAAGAACGGTACAGCTTGCCAAACATCAGCTGAAACGCACAGTTTGTCAGCGAATACGCCGTTCCGTACCAGCCAATATCGTCCGCTGAGTTGAATTCGTTGGTAATTTGAGGTATCGCTGTTGAAATAATCATGCGGTCCTGTGTATATGTCAGCTCAATATACTATATCAATCGGAGTATTGGAGAATACCAAAGACACGAGGAACATGCCAATCAACATGGATGTTATGATCATTGCAAGCCTTAGGCCCGAGGGATAGGTTGCTTCAGGCTGGGTGCTCCTGCGATCGTTGGCAGTTGTCTTGTCATCATCTTTGTGACCTTGGGTCCGGCTGTTGCTTTCAGTGGACATGTTGATTGTTGTGAACCGCTTGCAGATTCAAATGCTAGTACTACCTCAAGAAAGTAACTTAGAGACTGGACGAGCCCAGCATCACGTACTTCGAGAAATTTTCATGTCAGAATCAACCGAACGCGTTTCCTTTTAACTTATAGGTCGCCATCGTCGGCCGAGGAGTGGGGGTGTTCGAAGACATCTTTGTGAGGGTGCAGCTGTGGTATAGATGCCCTTCGGAAATGGAGCCGGCCGTCTCGGGATCCGAGACAAACCACGCTAAACCATTCTGGGACCCGAAGGCTCCGAATAACTCAATCTCGGGCATGAATCACCCGATTTGCCCTTTGAACACGTCTACTCCATACTATGAGGACAATATCCTGCCAAAATAAGCTTGAAACACTTATAAAAATAACAGCCTCAGTCTGTATCTAGGGGATGTTGTCCACTCCTCCATCTGGGCCTCCAGGCCCGAATCGACCGAAGCTCGCCTGTTCTCTCTGCGCTCGTCGCAAGGTGAAATGTGACAAGGGCGAGCCCTGCTCTAACTGCCTCAAGGCGCATGCTCAGTGTATATACGAAGCCCCTGCTTCACCTCGACCGCGGAAGAGGGCTGCTGATGAAGAGCTTCTCGCGCGACTAGCCCGCTACGAAGAACTCATGCGGAGCCACAATATCGATTTCTCCTCACACACCCACACCTGGATCCCTTCAAACCAGAAGTGTCAACCGAAGGAGAGTCATTCGGCTGGCTCACGCGCTGAGAAGATCAATGAGGCTAGTGTCCAAGAACCATCACTACTTACAGATGGCACGACTGCAGAAAGACAAAGGTAAGATATCCGGCAAACAGCAGGCAGTCTGCAATATGTTACTAATGGTGACAGATGTTTGTGGTCAGATCTCAGGCCAGAGGTTCGTGTTTCCGGTTACTACCATAATCGTATAATTCTAATAGCCCTTTGTAAACAGCTCAAGCATCCCCCTATCCAGAGCCTCGGACACAAGGATGACCCCGCCCTGTATCCTACTCCTTCCCTTGGAGAGGCTATTTCTGATACGCAAAGCATCCATGACTTCCATCCCGAGCCAAAACACATTTACCGGTTGTGGCAGATCTTCGTAGAAAGAGTTCACCCGATGACAAAGATCGTCCATGTGCCTACCCTGCAGCAGCGTGTCTTGGATACTAGCTGCAATTCATACTGCGCATCCAAGCCACTGACAGCTATCTTATTTGCTATCTATACTATTTCAATCACCTCTAGCTCACCCGGCGAATGTGAGACCTATTTTGGCTTGCAAAAGGCCGTTCTTTTGAGACAATACCGAACCGCAACTCTGCGTGCTCTCATTGCAGCAGACTTTCTCACAACCAGCGACCTCGAAGTACTACAGGCACTGGTATTATTCCTTTTCTCTAACCCAAGATGTGATTTAACAACCACCTTGTCCGGCGCCGCCCTTCGACTAGCCGAGAAAATGGGCCTACATCAAGACACATCTGACCCCAACATAACTTTCTTTGAGAAGGAAATGCGCATTCGTTTATGGTGGCAGCTCCGCGGCCTTGAAGCTCGGTGTCGCATTACCTCTACACCAGGGATGAAGCCACCACCATCTTCCGAGATAGGCGACGTCCGCCTCCCACTTAACGTCAACGACGTGGATCTGCACCCGGACATGACTGAGCCTCCTCTGGAACACGACGGTCCCACAGAAATGATGTGTGTCTTATTGAAAATGGAAGTTTCCAATTGGCGCCGACGCTCTCCGACGGCCACTCAGCTCATTGAAAGTGTGATGCAGGGCTCGGTCAAGTCTAAGGAGATAATCGAACTGGAGAGCAAGGCGGTTGACGAGCTCAACAACATATACTGTTGGAGGAATACCCGTAATTCTGATCCACACATCCCCCTTCATAGCCTTACTCAAGCCATGGCGAATCTATCAATCGCGCGGTTCAGGTTTAAAATTCATCATCCTCGCCGACGGTTCGGTGCAGCTGGCAACGAGATCTATATAACACGTGACGAACATGACATTCTGTTTGAATCAGCCCTGACATGGGTACAATCCATGATGGATATCAGAATCCGCAGCAAGTTTCCCTATTACTTGTTCACGCACTTCACGACAGATACCTACATGGACGCTTATATCCACATCCTGCTTGAGCTGCGGCAACGGCGCTCAAGGGACCGCGTAGCACTTGCATGGCAGCTGGTAGAGGACCTCTTCAGCGAACATCCTGAGCTTATCGATGACAGTAACCCTTTCTTTGTTTCGTTCACAGACTTGGTTTTGGATGCATGGGACTCTCGCAGTTACGGGCTGGATAAAAGTCATGGAGCTCTAGAAGCCATCACCACGCCTCGATTTATCCAACAACTCTTTGATAAGAAGCGTCACAATCGTCTGGGTGATCTGATTTCCAGCCTAAATTCGCAAAATCCTGGGGGTTTTGAGTTGCAGGACGAAGAGGATACCAGTTGGCTGTCTTGGGGAGACTTCCTTCAGTTGTGAGCACGAATATGCGAAGCTGTCAAACAAATAAATGAATGAAAACAATGAACGCAAATAATTTAATGACAACCACCTAATACACCGATGGCCGGGTCTATAGTTTCATCGATGTGTCGAATGTACACCTTTATAACCTACACAAGCTAACCTGTGGATGAAATGCTATTCTGAAATCTTGATAGGTACGTCTCCGGAGTTTAGTATAATCATTCTGAAGTAAAAACTACCAAGACATAGAATTGGCTTTGGCGAAATGAACTACTTACCCATAACCACACCACCAAACAACATTTTCGGTGCAAACAAACAGCTCCACCAATCGAAACAATCAAGAAACACAGATTTATATCCATAAACGTCTCGCTGACTCTAAGCAAGGACCTCCATAATCCAAATGCTAGTATTCCATTCTTTTAGACATTCATTGTCCGATCTTCATCGTAATCCGAAAGTTAGACGGCACAAGGTAACTCGGCAATGAGAACACGTCATCCAAGTCAGTCCTCCCTGCGGTGCTCGTAATCAAGAGCAGATTCTATGCTGTCGAAATCCCTGTCATATTCATGAGGAAGAAGTTCGATCAGTTTAACCCGCTTCGCAGCTTTCGTCGGCTGCTGCCCAACTTCGACCCACTTCCTGGTGTACCTGGCAACCTGTGCCGCAGAAATATTTGGACATATGCCAAAACAATCATCGAGTGCGACCTGCTCGCAGTATTCAACATGGCTGTGGATGAAGTCCGGGTATTTTACTTCAGGGTACCGAGTGATTATATTAATAGACTCATGTGGGTTATCTGAAACCACGAGGTATCTGTGAGCAGTGCTGACTTTCCAATTAACCTGCTTCCCAAGGTGTAGAAGGACATGATAGAGAACTCCGCCCTCCGTATGGTCCTCACGACATCCAAAAAACGTAGAAGAAGCGAGGGAATTCCGCTCCAACATCGCTCGAAACCCATTCACAAAATCATCTTCCTGCTCAAACGAAGAATCTGTGTAGGTAAGAAATATCCATCGACAATGTATCTTCTGGGAATGCTTCTTTTTGTCCGAAGGCCCTGATGTATGAGAAGAGGGCCTGGCCGGCACAACAGAGTGCGATTGAGACAAATCAGAGGTTGATTCCAGGTGGAAGCGACCGAAAGTCATTTTTCGTCTGTACGAATGATTTGTCTGAATGAGCAAGTTGTTTGTGTTGGACTATCCGTCCAAAGGATAATAGTGTCCAGGGCTGCCTTCGACTATTTATGCTCCTTGAAAAGCCCTGGCATTGCAGGAGTGGCCTAATTAGACAGTTTTCTCAGTCTCGCCCAAGAATTTCCTATTTGAGATGCCGCCGTAATATACCCCGCACTTTTCCCTTGGAATACAGAATTGATACTTGTGACTAAGCCAAAGTCAAAGACACTGTCCGATAACAAGGCCCCATCTGAACATACTTTCGTGTCCTTCCGTTATGTAATGTTATAGTCGTATTTTGGAGGTGCGGGGTAGTAGATGATGGCTCAGGTGTTGAGGCAGCTACTGACAATGAGTTGTGCCTGAGACACAACAGACAGTCTCACAGACCCACTCGTTATAACTTTGCCTTCTGTCTGTGAGACTTGAGACTCACAGAATTACCCCTTTAGGAGTAATTACAGAACCGGGATGATCCACGGGATATCGTGGAGGGGCCCCTCCGATAGGAGGCATCCCCCCTAGGGGGGAATTGTGGGGGTTTCTCGGGTAACGAGACAGTATTTACGGGCGGTGTCCAGCAGCAGAATTCCGAAAAGGAAATTCTTGGCAGTCTCACTGTATTTTTGTCGAGACTGGTGCTTGCCTTCCTATTCGGGACGAAGAGGGGTAGAGATTACCCCGCATTCCACGTAACAGTATAGTTCGCTGCAGGGGGCAGCGACAGCACATAAGTAGGCGGTAGTCCTACTCGCCCGGCAGGTATAACGGGTTCTTTTTCTGTTGTGAGTATGATATCTCTGTTTACATTGAGTTGTTCTGTAAATTGGTAGGCGACACTATGGAGCCTCCTATCTCTGTCTCAGACATATTGGAAATTGACGTTGCGCAAAAGCAACGTACTGCGGACGCTTATTGTCGTGCTATAAGGATAAACTGACTTCTTCATAATTATCCTCTTCTTCTATAGTTTGGTGCCCCTGGTATGTATACCATGACTTCTAAAATTTCAAGCAACTAGGAGCGTGACGAAGTTTTTTCATCTATTTGCATAGTTTCTAATCAGTCTTTCATTGCCTGGCTAGGGCTTGACATTACTACTAGTATTGATTAACATATTGTCCATGAGGTCTGCTACTGCATAGGCATTGATCCAACTGCTGCCAACAAATAAAATTGTCAGAAAACTCCACAACATTACCCTACCCCAAGTAGTATCCTAAAACTGCGATCAAAACAATGACTGGTAGTACGATGGTGAATGCGGATGCAATTGGTCAAACATACCGGGTGTCACCGGATAATCAGCTGTGACGTCATATGAATATAAAGAGGTCAGCACGTCTGACAGACCAACTCTGTTTCTCCCACTCACATCACCCATTGCACCATGGATCCAGCAAACGAATACTGTGGGCTTGAAGACTATGGCCTGGTGGGGGACATGCACACTTGTGCACTGGTCAGCAAGAATGGCAGCGTTGACTCCATGTGCTGGCCCGTGTTCGATTCTCCTTCCATCTTCTGCCGCATTCTAGACAAGGAGAAGGGAGGTCATTTTTCAATTACCCCGGATCGCAGGTTGAAAAATCCTCTCAGTAAGCAGCGCTATCGTCCGTACACCAACATGCTGGAGACCCGTTGGATTCATGAGGAGGGTGTGATGAATATCTTGGATTATTTTCCGATCGCAAAACCCAAGCCGCATGTGGTCGAGAAAGGGCTTCCGCAGTGGTGTCGATGCTACCAGAATAAAGGCTCTGCACAAAAGGAGGCATGTTGTTCAGGGATGGTGCGGAAAGCAGAGTGCGTGCGTGGTGAAATGGAGATAGAAATTGAACTTTTCCCGGCGTTCAATTATGCACGCGATTCACATATAGCCCAACAGTCTTCGGCTTCGGATGACGGTATCCAAGTTTACCACTTTCAATCAGAGAATCAGAATCTGGTTGTCAGCGTTTTGGGAGACAAGGGTGACATTTCCGAGGATGACTCCGATCTTAGCATTGAATTTGAATTGTCCGATCGACCAGGACACCTAGGCCCTGGTCTGATTGGGAAGGTTACCTTGAAAGAAGGACAATCCGTCACTATGCTCCTTCACGATCAGGAATCCATAACGTGCAATGCCCAGGACCTAGCCCCATATCTGCAGCAAATTGAGCGAACAACAGGCGATTTCTGGTCAGACTGGACCAGCAAGTGCACGTTCCGGGGTCATTACCGTGAGCAAGTGGAGCGCAGTCTACTCGTTCTGAAGCTTCTGACCTACAAGCCAACCGGAGCAATTGTGGCAGCTCCCACCTTCTCACTACCTGAGCATATAGGTGGGAGCCGTAATTGGGACTATCGGTACTCCTGGGTGCGTGATGCAGCATTCACCGTCTATGTATTCTTGAAGAACGGCTATCCCGAAGAGGCCGAATCATACATCAACTTCATCTTCGAGCGCATCTTCCCGCCCATGGATAAGGATCCTAAACCAGGAGAGCCCTTCCTGCCCATCATGATCACCATTCATGGCGAACGCGAAATCCCCGAGATGGAACTCGACCATCTAGAGGGGTACCGGGGGAGCCGACCGGTGCGTATCGGCAACGGTGCAGCGACTCATATCCAGCTCGACATTTACGGAGAACTTATGGACAGTATTTATCTCTACAACAAACACGCAGCCGATATCTCATACGACCAGTGGCGAGCTATCCGTCGCATGATCGATTTTGTTATCCAGATCCGCCATCAGCCTGACCAGTCTATCTGGGAAGTGCGCGGCCCACCGCAGAACTTTGTCTACTCGAAGATCATGCTTTGGGTTGCCTTGGATCGTGGTGTGCGGCTGGCGGAGAAGAGATCCAATCTACCGTGTCCGGACCGTGCACGATGGATGCACGAACGTGATGCACTATACGATGAGATCATGACCAAGGGGTATAACGCAGAGAAGGGATTTTTCTGCATGAGTTATGAGAATCAGGATGCTATGGACGCTGCTGTGCTTATTGCGCCGTTGGTGTTTTTTGTAGCGCCAAACGATCCTCGGTTGTTGAGCACCATCCAGAAGATCACGGATGTTCCCGCCAAAGGAGGGTTGAGTGTGGCTAATATGGTATCACGGTATGATACTGGGAAGGTCGATGATGGTAAGCTGTCCCCCGTCTCCTTTGATTACGACACACATCTAATAACCATTCCAGGCGTTGGAGGCAACGAAGGCGCGTTCCTAATGGTCACATTCTGGCTCGTCGAGGCTATGATGCGTGTAAGTACCAAACTCGCCTCCTAGTTGTCCCATCTCGATAGCTGACAATCATCATCAGGCTGCCAAGTCCAAAGCATATCTTCCTCACGACCCGTTCTTCCAACAACTGCGCAAGACAGCCACATCGCAGTTCGATAGCATTCTCTCTTTTGCAAACCATCTGGGAATGTTCTCCGAGGAGGTTGCGACGTCCGGAGAGCAGATCGGCAACATGCCGCAGGCGTTTAGCCACCTGGCGTGTGTGAGTGCAGCGATGAATCTCGGCGGAGGGGGCGACCGATGATTTTGCCTGATCTTGAAAAGGATTTGTAAAGAACGCTAGGAAATGAGAATAATGGCAAAGAGATGTGAAGGGTTTCTGGCGTTTAACATTTCATAAATCGCATTGGAACATGAAGCAAGATCGCATCAAGTTCCCTTTGATTTCGGTAGAGAAATTCTTAAAACCTGCAAGGCCTTTTCCTCTACTACTTGCGGTAGACACGAAATGCTACAAAGAATGTCTGAGTAGGTTATGCTCAATGAAATATCTCTATCCTTTCAATGATGGTCGAAATTCGTATTTTACATACCGCTACTACTACCATTACGCCTAAGGTTGTAAGTGAAAGATGATGGTTCCATTAAGTATACATATTTCGGAAGTAGATCACGTAGTAGTACTAAATAGCACTACACCGCGTGACCATCAAGTAAGAAAACCCAAAGGCAAATGAATGCCGATCCAGACATGACAAGCCTCAAAAAGGAAAAGTAAAGAAAGAAAAAAAGGACAGGGGATAGAGGATCCGAATAAGAACTCAACCAGAAGTGAGAAAAACAAAAGAGAAAGCCCAACGCGGGGCTCGAACCCGCAGCCTTGAGATTAAGAGTCTCACGCTCTACCGATTGAGCTAGCCGGGCTAGTTCGGTGAAGGGTCCGAAAGGAAGAGTGCTACTAGTAGGGAATATCATTGATCAGTCTTCCAACCTGATCGGCATCACGTGCTTGAGCCCCTTATAGACAGATGCATTAGTGGCATATCTTAGAGCCATTCCATATGCGAGATAGTGCATTAGTGCCAGCTTTAGAGCCATTTTGGCGCCGTGCATTAGTGCTATGTTATAGAGCCATTCTGTATGCACGGTCTTGCATTAGTGCAAATTTAGAGCCATTCTGTGGCCGTGCATTAGTGCTATGGTTTAAAGCGATTCTGCATGCATGGGCCTGCATAGATACTATCTATAGAGCTTGACCCTGAGATAAGTAATTACTAACGTAGACCTGAGCTCCCATGTACGCCACGCTGTATTAATTTATATTGTAGAGCTGTTATAGAAATTGAGGATAAGAATATCTTTCAATCAATCCATGCTGCATTACCAGGCTACCCTAAGCAACGCGGTTTACTGTTGCCTCTTTATTACCCTGCGCGAGTACCGTCCAATCAAAGAAGGTGTGTATCGACGAACTGTCTGATTAATTATATTAGCAAACGCTACAGATCTTTAGAGAGCCATAGCCTACCAACTGCGGTCCATATCGGACACCGTAGTCGCTTTCTTTGTCATCCGCACCTCTAATTGCCGTGGCGAAGAGGCATTCGCGAAGAGAAACGCAGTACGCAGACGATTGCGCCGTTGCGCTTATAGGTGGAGACATGAGGAAGTGGGTATCATCCTGACGCTTGACAAACCACGTATATTCATAGGTTGTAAGCAAGCCATAGCGGCAGTAGTGGTCGTCCATATAGCGTGCTACCTGACCTATATCGTTAACAGTACAGTCAGCTTTTGATATCTTTCCTGGAAATATATATGACCACATGCCTAGCTTAGCGGACAGGAAATTGTGCCACGTCTGGCGTTTCTTCGGTGCGAATGTCCAGAAAGTCTTAACCTCGCCCACTACTCTGATAGTATGTGTCTTGCGATCCACCATTACTATATCGGGTATGAGTTTCGACTTTGCCTTCTTGATCTTCTGTAGGCCGCGCTTTCGCTTCTGCCCTTTCTTCACAGGATCTTGGCGTCTATTCACACCATATTGCGCGTCTCCGAAACGGACTCCGAATTTCATCAGCTCCGTTACCTCCCCAACAGGGTGCAGTACATTATTGACGAAGCGACCCTGTACTCCCAGTTCATTGGCCACGGCGAAAAACTCCTTAGCTACAACAGAATTGAATGCCTCGTATTTACCGCAGTAGGGCTCTAAGAGAGCCTTGACTTCTTTTGCAAAGTCTGGCCAGCTGCGCACCCGGGTAGGGCTCAGTGTGAACTTAGACGTTCCAGGCTTTAGGGTCCTGAACCCAGCGTCAGTGATTAAGTCTGGAATACGAGACCAGAGCTTCTGGCGACGATCGTGTGGAAGCCTCAAAGAGGACATAGTATTAGCGCTACGTAGCTGAGGCATGATAGCAGAATAACCCCTATCGATTTCGAGCAAGTCAGAAGGTGATGGAGAGCGATAATTTCTCAGATATTACGCTTATGTGAAATGCAGGTAAAAGCACATTAAAGTATAGAAGATTATACTTTTCTGTGTCTTTTGTATCTAGTTTGAGCATATTCACCTGAAATTATATTCATTCCACATGGAAGCTGAATGAAAGCTTAGTAAATACTGTTTGGAAATAGGCGAAAAACAAGCGAAAACAAGCGAAACAGAAAATAGCGAATTTAATTGAGACTCTTCCTGGTTCGCAGGAATCCCTCATATTCCTTCTGACTGTCAAAATTGACCGTTACTGAGAGCTAAACACGGGATATAAGTGGAGGCTATTACAAATTCAATTGAATATGAGAAGCACTCAATATGTTAAATCTACTAAGGAACAAAACCAGTAAGAAACAGTATTCAGTCCTCAAAGAAAAGTACATTAGGATTTGTTAAATATGCCAGTCAGATCCAACGCCATCCTATGCTCTCGTTGGGCGCTGATTTTCCTTTTTAGTCGGTTGGTCGGGTGGCGGCACTCCTGGCTTCGGGTCTTGCTCAGGCTTACTGTACGGTGCGCGCCAAATGTTAAACGCCTCCACGTATGGGCTCTCCTCATCTATTGGGAACGATGTGCTACTATTTGGGTCGCTGAATCCGAGGCCATCGAGGTCAACCAGATAAAGCTTATTTGTCCGAGCCTCGTAATTAAGATACCCGGCATGTTGCTGGACCAGCACATAGCCTTTCGTGCGCATGAACCTGCGATGAGCCCAGTACTGTTAGTAAATATACGTATTTCTATTGTAATAGGACAGAAAAAGATGACTCACTCCAAGGTATGTGCGAGCTGGGTTCGAATACTGTCAAGCTGCTGATCGGTAAGCTCATCTTGGATATCTTCGACATTTTCGCCTGGAGGTATCTGCATGACCAAAAGGTCGATATAGCCATTCGGGAATGGCATCCAATTTTCCTGAAACTGGGTTTCGTGACAATAATACTTTGGCCCTAGTCCACGCTCACCCAGGAAGTCTGTGAGTTGGACTTCGTGGCAGTAATGTTCCTCAGCCAACTCCTCAGCCTCTGCGGGATCGTCAAAGTCAAAATCCTCTGGGTCCAGTTGGTAGCGGATTTTGAGAAGAGACTCTAGTTTGTTTTCCAGGTTTATGACCCTTGTTAGAACCCGGCGTTGGCCATGCTCGATATCCAAGAACTCAGTGAGTTGCTCCACGACCTTGAGCTTCCTCCCTTCAATATCAAAGACTCGTCCTCTGAAACTGAAGTCCCACATTTCTGCGCTTTCGTCTGGATAGACACTTGAGTGAAGAATAGCAAAATAGTTGGATTCTCGGGGCGGACGGTTTAGTGTGAGTTGAGACGTTTGAAGTTTCCGTTGTGAGGTGGTAGAAGTCAACATGAGTCACCACCCGGCATCATTCACTATGACGCTCAAGCAAGGTCATTAAAGAACGTCATTACCTGCTACTTCTTTGGTTATCGATGATCAAGACGACAATATTCACTCTAGAGTAACATTATATACTATGCTATGATGATGCTACTGATTCATTAATCTTAAGTTAATATCAATGTCATCTATGCTCGTCATTCCGGGCTGATTTATACCCAAGCATCTAAGTAGGTGATCATCCAGCTTTCAGGAAACTTTCGAAGCTCGCTGTACAAATGCGGATACAGGATGAGATAGTCCGAAGAAGATCTACCGCGGACCAAGAGTGTAGGGTATTATTGCCTTAAATTGTAGCTGCCAACTTCCATAGTCTGGAGTAACAAGTGGGTCACGTGACATACATTTTGCTAGCCCATGCTTCACAAAGGGCTATATCAAGGCACGCCCTATACAGCGAAAGCAAGCAAGCAAAACAAAGCGATGCAAGACAATGCAGCAAAAGAGTGACTGTATTGACTATATAGAGCGCGCAGCGGAGCAAGCGCGAAATGGTGCTTTGTGTGGCGGCCTGAGCGCTAACGACGTGACCAAGCCTACATGGGTGGTTGCCTCAACAGATTAGGTATAGCATGGGCTTTCCTCTCGATATAGATGCATGGACTTGCAGAAATGCTAAGCTTAGCGAGATTTGATAGTATTAGTATTACACTTATTGTCTGCTATATGCACGACACCGCATTAGCTTCACTTTTAGAGCCATCTTAGGGCCATTCTTATGCATGGGCCTACATTTGACAGCTGCCATCTGCACGGAGCTGCCTTAGTGTACCCTTTAGAGCCATTCTTCATGCACGGCCTGAATGAGTCGCTCTAAATATGTGGGCCTAGCAGGGATTTATGTACCCACTCTCTGCACAGGCCAGCATAATGGCGCTAATGCACAGTCTTGCAGGTTGATGGCTCTAAGCCTGCGAGACACATTGGCATATCCAATCACGCTATAGAATAGATAGTATGTGGGGCTCATGATCAACCCAGGTTAGCTGGGACTGATGCACAATTATGCACAATTACACAGTCAACATAAATTCTTCCTCCTTCAGATTACATAATTCCCGTTTAATCGCAGCTCTTGGCTAGTAATAAATGTGGCTAAAGCTAGTAAAATAAACTGTATATAACAGCAGGTAAAATTCACCCCTTGGGATATAGTCAAGACGTATAGGTGACTCAAGACCTCATTGCTTCAAATACGATCCATTGGCGTCCAATAGTGCAAACCTTCCACGGGTTTCTCTTAGAAGGGTTGGTATTCTGCAGGAAAGAATAAAATGACTTTCCAATGATGGCCACGTATCTTACTTTATGAACAGGCCATAAAGGCCGTAAAGACACGACTGTATGGTCACTGAAGTCATGGCGCATAATAACTGGCTTACTCCAATTGTAGTATATTGTAGCGGATGCAATATAGAGTTTGAGATTCATCAACCTGACTGATCATCGGGCTAAGCGACAAAAAAAGTCCGGCTCGCAGAAATAGCGGAGAAAGATGTGGCGAACATCTCGAGAACCGCGGAAATTTGTAAAGATCTTGATGAAATTGGGATTTGCACGATTTTCCGGATGACACTGATGATAATTTGGATGGTCAGGATGATGGTCATGATGGCAATAGTAGAAGAATAGCCTATTAATACATTTCGACGCTGCATGGGAAGCAGTAAATCCATGTTCCCGGGACATCTGCAGCGCGGCATCGGAGGGTTTCACTTATTCGTTTGCTGTGACAGGTCAGGTGATTATCAGCTTGTCAGCAATGCTCATCTAGACCAACTTTACCTCCCCAACCCCTCGTATACTCCTAGAACATTGCTTTTGCGCTCATTCAGCATTTATAGAACCTCTTCATCACCTGCCGGTCGTCTTTCAGCTTGACAGCAGCCGATCAATGTTCACATCCTATCACACCATTCACTTTCCAATCTTCTGCCTTCAGGTTCCTTCTCTATCATCGACGCAAACGAAGCCCCCTATCACAAGCACCTCCTGTGACGACTTCTGTCGAAAATGGGTACCCTCATGGTGGTCATCAACCCAATCATGGCCGCTGGCGGCTACGACAATGATCGCAGAGTCGGTACAGGACGTGTTCTTCCTACCAAGTTCAATCCTCCGTATCCTGACGATGCACCACATTCTCTTTTCCCACCTGGCATCAAAGTCGACTGTGTGCCGCAGGTCCATCGCTTCATCCGACGAAACAATCCCCGCGAGCTCCTCATCTACACCAATGGCACCTGTGTGGAGAACGGCGGAGCCGTCCCCAGAGGAGGCTGTGGCGAGCCCAGAGGAGGCTGTGGTGTTGTCTACCGGTCTCCCGTGGACCTTCCGGAAGGCAAACTCAATCACTTCAAGATCCCTCTCGAGATCAAAGGACCCAGCGGCCGAAAACATCGCCACACAAGTGAGCGAGCTGAATTGCGGGCCGTAATTGCAGCCCTTCGGTTCCGCTGCTGGACCGGAGAAGGGTTCAACAAGCTGGTGATCGCGACTGATTCCGAGTATGTGGTGGAGGGAGCAACTTGTTGGATCCAGGGATGGATCCAGAGGGGCTGGAAGACAAGGACAGGGAATCCTGTCAGTAATCGGGACCTGTGGGAGTGTCTGCTGGGTGAGTTGGAGCGGTGGTATGATCATGGTATGGACATCCAATTTTGGCAGATTCCGAAAGAATGGAATACCGAGGCGGCTCTCCTTGCTGAACAGGCCGCGTTGGAGGCACCAGCAAGAGCGTTTGGCGATGTTTCCGGATACATGGTCTAAGGTGAAATGTGTTTACCATGGGTGGAGGGTTTTCAATTTTTTAGTCTGCTGTTTGCATGGAAGGCCATATAAGACTGTCCAGGCATATGTCACGGCTGTTGTTGCTGAAACTAAAGATTGTATCTAAAGCTTTTTTTCAAACTATACATTGGGTCCTAACTCATGGGCGTATAGTGCTGGCCTAGTGGCAACAGTTATCCCCTCTCGTACTGGAAGTTTAGGCAGACTGACATTTGTGCTTGTAGTATCAGCACCACAATTCAATTGGAAGCTTCCATCGCGTTCAAGCGTCGTTACTACTACTTCACAGATCATTACCAGGATATTAATCCTTATGATCTTGTACTAAAAATAGCCACTCAGATCCAGAGCGCTCAGTTCACATGACCTAACAAATCAAGCGTTTGTGGCTATACGGAAAACGACGCTAGCGTGCAACTAGCTACACACTAAACCTGGTCCTGTTGGCTGGGAGATTCACCCCCTCGCGGTACAAAACGTCCTCCAACGTGGCCTTGCAAAACGCATCAAACTGTTGAACAGTAGCTTCATCTTCTCGACTACTAACGTGTCATTTCTGGAGAGCAACGGCATAATCCAGCATAGCTTTAATGTGCTGCCGCCGCGGAGAAGGACCCCCGATAGCAGCTAGATTACCGGGATGGCGCTTGACTGCTGACGTGCTGCAGAATTTTGTCCGGGCTTTGTCTTTGGCGCCAAACTCTGCTGTCGGGGT